CTTTGTGAATAATGATGGGTAAGATGAAGGACCAAGCAAAGGCTCTGCTTTTCTTTATAAGACACAACATTCCACGCAGACTCTGAGCCTTCTCCAGGATCTCAGGCTCTCCTGACAATCTCCACGACCGACCGAAAGAGGGAAAAATGAGGACGTCATTACAAAATGCAAGAAACTACAGTAATGCTTCACAATAAGGCTTCAATTAGACTCATTCAAACAGTCATTCCAGAAATCAACTGATACTCATTCAGTGACCTATTTATATTCCAAAAAAGCATAAATAAATAATTTTAGTAAGTGTGAATAGCAAAACTTTAAATGACTTCCAATAAATTTTAGGAGAAATAATTACTCGGAAAGAAACTTTTCTACTTATGATACCACTACTACTAGCACATGAAAATCTCTAGTGGATCCCTTGCCTCAGTTGGTTTCTTACTTTATTATTGCAATTACCTCAAATGCAAACACCAATAATAAAATATGTATAAGAGAAAAAGACATATTGAACATGTAAGATTCTGAACTGTTTAAATTAAGCCTCTATTGAACTGAATAAGAGTGAATGAGATGACTCATAGGAGACTCCAAAATTTCCCACTTTTCCAAGAAGCACCATATGTGCGGTTCCACAGGGAGCAATTCCCTGTGAAAGAAATCCAAAAACTAGCTGAATTACTCCAACACAAGGGTAAATGGGAAAATATCCATATGGAAATGGGTAGGACAGGTTGAGATAAACTCACCATAAACTCCACCCTTGGCACAGCACCATACCATCAGGAGGGAGCCCCCAATTTCCAACATATCCCTGAAAAGCAAGGGATTTAGATCATACCTCTAGCACCCCAACTTTTAAGATTCACACCCAAGGGACCAACCTAGCTCTGAAAACCAAAGGGGCTTGCACCCATAAGTCCCACAGGACTGTGCAAACAAAGAAGTCTTTCTTAATGAGCACATAAGCACTCAATGTGTCATTCCTCCCCCTCCCCTCCCCAGCATGGAGGGAACTGGCAGAAATATCCACTTTCCAGTTTTTCCCTGGAAAGAGTTTGACTACATAATTTATAAGCTGCTGCCCATAGGTTAGCATGCATCTAGGGTCTGACTGTGCTCCTCCTTGAAGTCCATGGGAATCAGTAGGATCTTTCCACGCCTGCTCTCTCCAGCTTACTCCAACAACAAAGCCAGCATATCTCTTGGAAGAAGCCTACATACACATCTGGGATGTCAGCTTTTATGGCTCCTGCCCGAAAGACAGGTCCCCAGACAGCCTGGCTCCCATAGCCAATGGGGCTTACATTATGAGTCCCACAGGATTCAGTGGATAAAGAAGCAATGGTTAATGCACACAAGCACACACCACAGTCATCCCCACAGGCTTCAGTGCAGAGGGAATAGGCAAAAACAGCCATCTCCCGGTCTTTCTCTAGAGGGAGGTTTGACCAAACACTTAGCAAGCGCCTACCTCAGCTACTACCAGCACTTAGGTGCTGACTATGATCCTCCCCAAGACACACCCTCAACTACCGCACCTCACTAAGAACATAGAAGGCAGTTTGGCTAGTCACAAACATTTGAGAGAGAACCAGGAGCACTGACTGAGCTGATTGATGAGGTTCATTTTCTACACAAGACCTGTCAAGACAGGGACAAACCTGTTTTATCTAATACACAGAAATCAAACCAGAGAGTCAAGGAAATGAAGAAAAATAGAAGAATGTGTTCCAGACAAAAGAACAAGGTAAATGTCCAGAAACAGATCTCAATAAAATGGAGATAAGTGATATATCCAATTGAGAGTTCAAAATAATGGTCACAAAGATGTGCATGGAAGTTAGGATAGCAGTGCATGAACAAAGTGAGGGCTTCAACAAAAGATAGAAAATATTAAAAAGTACCAAACAGAAAACACCACACTGTGGGATATAATCAATGAACCAAAAATTCCAATCAAGGGGTTGAAAAGCAAATGAGATTAAGTGGAGGAAAGGATCAGTGTAGTCAAAAACAGCAGTGAAACACATCCAATCAGAGAAGAAAAGGAAAGCAGAATGAGTTTGAGTAGTAGAGATAGCTTAAGAGACTTATGGGACATCATCAAGTAGATCAATATTCACATATAGGGGCCCCAGAGAAGAGAGAGATAAAGGAGCAGAAAGTTTATTCAAATAAATAATGGCTGAAAACGTCCCTAGCTTGGGGAAAGAAACAGACTTAAGTCCTACAAGCACAAAGTACCAAACAGGAGGTACCTAAAGTGATCACACTAAACACATTATAATTAAATTGTCAAAAGTTAAAGACTAGAGAGACTCTTTAAAACAGCAAGAGAAAAGCAACTTATTATGTATAAAGAACCCTCATAAGACTATGAGCAGATTTTTTAGCAAAAACTTTGCAGGCCAGAAGGGAGTGGGATGATATATTCAACCTCCTTAAAGAGAAGAAGAAGCCAACCAAGTATATTCCATCCAGCCAAGTTATCCTGCAGAAAAGAAGTCACGTCTTCCAGGGAAACAAAAGCTGAATGAGCTTATCAGCACTAGACCAGCCTTATAAGAAAACCTGAAGAGAACTCATGGAGCTGAAATGAAAGAACACTAATTAGTAACAGGAAAGCATGAAATTCACTGGGGTAAATATATAAATTCAGAATATGCTAATATTCTAATGGTAGTGGGTAAACCACTTATAACTCTACTGTAAAGGTTAAAAGACAAAAGTATTTAAAAACAGCTATACAATAATGTCAATAGACACAGAATATGAAAGATAAAAACTGTGACATCAAAAACAAGAGTGAAAATGTAGACATTTTATACTCACTGAAGTTATCAGTTTCAAATAGACTGTTATAGCCATAATATGTTTTATGTAACCATGGTAACCATGAAGTAAAACTTTATGGTAGATACACAAAAGATTAAGAGAAAGGAATCAAAATATGCCACTACAGAAAATCATTACATCACAAAAGATGCTAAGTGAAATAAACCAGACAGGAAAAAGACAAATTCTGCATAGTATCACTTATATGTAGAATCCAAAATAGGCAATGGTGGTTACCAGAGACTGGGAGTGGAGGAAATAGAGCCTGATAAAAAGGTACGCATTTTCAGTTATAAGATGAATAAGGTCTGAGGGGACAATGTATAATATTGTGACTATGATCAATAATACCATATTATATAACTGAAATTTGCTAATGGAGTAGAACATAAGCGTTCTTACCAAAAAAAAAGGTAAATACAAAGTGATATGAATATTAATTAATGCAACTGTAGAAATCCTCTTATGATGTATATGAACACCAAACCATCACATTGTACTCTCTAAATACAACTTGTTAATTATATCTCAGTATAGCTGAAAAAATAAACCAGGCAGTTATAATCAGGAGTTGGGGGGGGGTGCCATTAAATTAAGAGTTAAGAACAACAAAAAACAAATCCAAAATAGTTCAAAGTTAGCAGACTCCCACCAAGTAGATTTGAGTAGTGAGTCAAAATACATCTACGAGAGTATACATGTACACTCTCAAAATCTAATATAGCCCAGCTGAGCTAGGGCACTAATGTCAGTCCTTCACTAAATAAACTTGATTATGTCCAACTGCAAAATGATTAGTTTATGCTCAATCATTTTGAAAATGAAATCTATACAATGAAAAACTGTACATTTCCCCCACTCCAGAATGTAATACTATTTCTAGAATCAAACTAAAATTAATACAGAAAAATCTGTACTTGAATTTACTCATTTAAATGCCCAATTTGTTTTTAAAAAGCTAGACAAATTCTGGCAAAAGTACCATTAAAAGGCATCTGTAAAGTCTACCAATTTTAAATTAGCCATTATCCATAACATACATATGGAACAACACTACGGTATTAAAAGCAAATACCTGAACCAGAGACACTCTATGGGGGGTGAGGGGAGGGGAGGGTTTGGGGACAAAATAAGGAGGGATTGGGGACAAAATAATGTATGGGAAATATAAAAATAAAATTTATTTAAAAAATAAATAAATAAATAAATAAAATAAAAGCAAATACCAAGCTTAAAAGTGACACCTCATGGAATGAAGCAAATCCCCAGAGCTGATCAATTGCACAGTAAAACATGGGTGTTAGCTCTACGCTTAACACAAGACTGCTATATAAACTGGCGGTTACTTTACCTCAGGTAACATAAACTGTTCTTACAGAAAGTCCAGAAAAGATCCTAGAAATTTTCAAAGAATTCTTTACAGTACCCACGATATTTATCTTTTGTTTATTACCTATTCTGTCCAGACCAATTATAATAATTAACTGTCCTCATATGTGCATGCAATACACTATATATGGGAATTATATATTGTTGTGTTCAACAAAATAAAGATCATCTCTATATTTCCAATTAAATTACATAGCTTGTACTCCCCATCAGAAGCACTTTTTCAACAATTTAGCCTGATATCTAGTATAGATTTTTATACAACTGTATCTCTGTTAATACACAGGTTCCACATGGTTGTAATAAGACTATTCAGCCTACTCAGTCTTTCAGTAAACAGGAGGCATTTGGAGACAACTCCAAAAATTAGTACCAACATAAAATGAATGCTCTCCGTGATGCTGACACTTTTAAAGATGTCAACACATTGGTTCCATTTCCTGCATGATCACATTTCTTTGCAGTGTTCCAGAGTTGGCAAACATGTTTTTCCTTGCCTGAAACACACAGCAAAACCCCCTTCTCACAGCAAGAAAATGTGCCAAGGTTAATGGAACCACAGCCCCAAACAGTGGGTTCAAGGGCTGGTCACAAAGAAACAGCCCATCTGTCCCTGGGACAAAGCTCTTCACCCCTTGGAACAGGGCAGCACAAGCAGCCCAAAGATGAGTGGGCGCCTGGCCACACAGAGCCAGGGTCAGAAGCAGGCAAGAAAACCCACCTAGGGAAACAGACAGCAAATTATAAGGCACATTTTGAATTTACAGACCCACCTTCAAGTGAAGGATTTCCCAAGACAGTCCACCCAAGAGGCAACTCCAAATGGGTCAGAGCCAGCACGAGCTCCTCGTCCAAGGCAGGCAACGCCCCCACTGTCAGGGCGAATGGAGTCAGCAGGGTCTGATGGCTGCCGGCTGTGAGGCGATCAGCCTGGGTCACCAGCAGACGGGCCAGCCTGCAAGCCATATTGTCCACGTAGGTCACTGAGCTGGAGCCCATGGTCACTGGGGAGTAACCTTCTGAACAGAGGCACACGGATACTGTCACTGTCTCCTGGAGCGCATGGCCTGGAAGACAAGACAGTGAACAGGTCACCCAGAGTCTGGAGGACATGATCTCACTGTGTCCAAAGTCCTCAGTCTCACTGCACCATCTAAGCAGACCTCACATGTCAGGACAGCGAGGCAGAAAGGAAATGCAGCTGGTTCTCTTTAAATGCTGCCAAGCCCATGGGACTAAGTTAAAGCTGATTCCATCTTTTCCCAGTGACTTCTGATCTTAAAACTAATCTTTATGAACGGGGAGCATTTCAGCATCTATTCTCCTATCAATAACAAACATGTGTTTGGTATACCTTAACCTTCTACTTCCACCCTACCCCCTAAATTCAAGTTGTCATTGTAAAGGCTTAAGCGCTTCACTCTGCCATTTCCACCTGAGTCATATTTGTATTTATTAGGCAATGGTTTTATAAGGTGACACCACAAAATTACACAAGTCCACCCTCCTTCCACAGAAAATCTAAGTGTAAGAGTCAGGATAGGTAAAGTTACTCTGCAGAAATATTTACATACATTGTTCATTGCCCACAACTTCTGAGAATGGCTTCTCCATGTCTGAAGGTGTTCTTAATACTGTGGTAGGGGTGGGGGCCACTGGATCCTGCTACCTGTCCGTCTTCCTTACACTTCTTTAATTTTGCAAAGGTCAGTGTACTCCTGCCCAGGTATCCTGGTCCTGGCAGAATTTCCAGGAATTGGCACCACAAAACCTCTGTGATTATGATAATGATGATGGGACAAGAAAAGAATTAACATTCAGCCACACTGGGCCCTAAGCACATGGCTTAGGGCTCCAAGTCATGCCTGCTCTGTTTCACTCCCCAAAAGCTTTGCTGCCCAGGCTTTGGGCACAAGAGCATCCTGTGTTTACTAAGTAAGAAGGACTGCAATTCTCACGTCACCTCTTTAAAAGTGGTCCAATGGCTGAGGCACAAAATGCAGCCCCTCACCTAGACTACATATATCCAGGACACAGCAGAATCTGCTCTACATATTTCTGACAGGTTACCCTGATAAAGCTGAAAACCAGGGAAATTTAAGATTCAGGAACAGGGTGCCATATGTGTATAGGGAATCTCCTAAAATGAAGGCAAGAACCCTGTCTTCGAAGCAGACCACAATGTAATCAAAACCATTTTCTTTAACTAGGGAACACACCCTCTCCCACTTGAGAGGAAAGAGAAAAGACAACACAAATTCTGGTATTAGGTGTGGCACTAATTGTTTTCTACTTTTTCTTCATAAGCAGTTTGATAAAAAAGAAAACCAAATAAAGAAGGAGAAGCAGGAAAGACTTAAATGAAAAATGCATAAACAAAAGGCAGATGCAACATATGTGCATCCAAAGGAAGCCCATATTATTCCTGAGGATTGGCTCTTTTTCTTAAAAGGATGGGACTTACTGGCCAGAGAGAGACATGCCTAAAGTTGTCCACATTCTCAGTGCCAGATAACAGGTTAATTCATCAAACAAACCCAGGTAGACGGGAAGGTCTCTGTGTCTCGACAGCCCTCACCATATCTGTGTTGTTGCATGTTTACTGTCGACCTTCTCTCCGCATGCACCAGGTACAGTACAGAAGCACTCAGAAACATTTTCCATCTAAAAATGAGACCAGGGCCTCCCTGGTGGCGCAGCGGGTTAAGCACAGTGCTGTGAAGCTGTTCGCAACCTCTGCAATACGGGTTCAATTCCTGGCCGGCTGGGAAGATTCCCACATGGCACAGCAGACCTCTCCTGTAGCGCCCGCTGCTCCCCTCAGCAGTGTATTTGGGTCTGTCTGCCTGTTCTGCACCCCGCTCTGTCTCTGGTGGGTCCTCTCACCCTCCGGCGCCTCTGGCCTGAACATATCCCAGCTCTTGTATAAAAATAAATAAATCTTAAAAAATAAATAAATAAAAATAAAAAATAAAAAATTTAAAAATACATTTAAAAAATTAAAATGAGACCAGTATTATATGAGAAAAGTCAAAGTTTTCCCCTAAAATGCAATTTAACAGGACTTGAAGGACCTACAATTAGGTAAAGTGACCAATCAACAAAGAACAACAAAACACTCCCTGTAGTGCAGGTAAGGGCATCCTAATCACACCTTTCAGCTACAGCTCCATGTTTCCGATGAACAACCCACACACCATTGGAAATACGGGAGGAGGAATTTTGTATCTCAGAAGGGCTACTTGCTCATGACAACACTTTAAGATACATTAATTTGTCATCTGTCACCATGGTCATTGAAATAGACATCTGGGAAAATTACAAGTTTCTAAATGTGAATCTTTGTGTAGAGGAAAAGGAAAAGTTTGAAGATGAGATCTGACAAGGAGGAGTTTGGATGGACAGGGAGACAAGCAGAGAAGCCCAAACTACCCTAGGGAAGAGGCAGACACTGGGCTGCTGGGCTGCCCGCAGGAGAATGAGGGGGAATGAAGGTGAACTCTCCGTGTCTCAGCTCCACCTGAGCCACCCTAGCAAGGGAGACTCCAGGAAGTGATAGTGCGAGCCAGTGTCTCCCCCGGACTGCACACACAGCACACCGAGCGCTGAGAGTGGGGTCTAAGGTAAGGCTGCCCAGGGGGTTGCAGACACGCTGGAAGGACCTCAGACAGGAGACAGTCCAGTGTGAGTGTTCTTCCTCGCGTGACCTCCCTCCCTGCCTCTCTGTCTCCCACCCCCATCTTGCAGCACTAGTCCTTTCTCCTGGCCTTCTCCCAAGGCTGTGTCCTGGGAGGGAACATGCTCACAGACAGATTCCCAGCTGCACACTCAGGAGCACACCTCACCTGGAATGCTGGATTGGAGCACATTGTCCTCGGCGCGTTCTGCCATCACGATGTGTCTCTGATGTGCTCCATTATAAATAAAGTAAAACTCAGCATCTTTAGGAAGGTAAACATTTCTGCCAAACGTGGCATAAACCGTCATCTGCCCCTGAAAAATAAGTAAGCCAGCATCATCATATTTCCTCGTCCAGGTTATAAGAAACCACAACAAAGGGGATGGGTCCAAAACCATGTTGCTTGTTAAGATCACTTCATGTGGTTGAGCTCAAATAATGAGCTTTCCTTTCCAGCAACATTTTTGACAACAGGGAGATACTTTTTGAAATACTTAAGTGTGCTTGTCAGAGCTGGTTTGTTCTGTATTTAAAGTTGAAGACTAGATCAGAAGGAAGAGTTGTTTTTTTTTTTTAATTTAGTAGATGTATACATGTGATACTTTGTTGTCTTTTACTTCCTTTCAATTCTTGCCTCTTGTATTAATGTTTTCCTGCATCTGAGATGGCACCATAGTCCAAAGGTTCAAAATTACCCTTTCCTCCGGATTTACCCCATAGTAGAGCACAGTTCATTGTAAGAATCTTAAATATTCACAAACACTGCCAAATTCATAGTACCATGTGCTCCCATACTTGCTATGCCATTTCCAACTGTTATCTGTCTTTCTAAGGGATTTGCAAATCCTCTTTCTCATCCAGTCTGGCTTCATACTTTCTCTTGAGAACTTCTGGTGGGCAAAAAGCCCTACATAGTGCCCTGGTCCTGAGGAGAAGAGAAGCCACCTTGGGCCACTGAGGCACACTCTGAGGCAGGAAGGACTCGAGGCAGCAGGCAGTAGGCTGGTGTTCTCAAGGAAATCGCCATCCAGGGGCTGAGTGAGGGGCTGTGTCAGCACTGCCAACAGCATCTAAACAGCAGTCACGAAGGAACCTGCCAGATCATCTTGGGACCCCAAGGACTCTAAAACTGGGACACACCCTTCCCTGGAACACAAAAAGGGGGTGTGCAGGGAGAAGCAGCATTCTGCCCAGCCTCTGGGAGTGGCAGGGAAATGAAAACCAGGAGGTGGAAAGGGTCACCCCCTGGGGAGGCCTTCAAGGCTCCCTCCAACATGCAGAAGCATCTGGACTCTCCTGTACATGCCTAACAAAACAAATGTGCTCGCTGACATTTCCCTACCCTGCGACAGGGGAGAAAAGTGAACAGAGAAACATCTACACAGTCCCATTAACACTTGCTTGCCTTTGATTGATGTTAGCACAGCATTTCATAGGATATCTACAGGTAGGCCATCAGTCACAAAAACAAAATCAGTGCAGAACTCCTCTTTCCAGCAACCACGTGGTTATTTCATCTAAAATTCTTAAGATAAAAAAGACCATATTTTCCTAGGGGTTTGCAATCCATCACACACACAAAGTTATCTTAAGCCATGAATTGGTATAAACACAAATGGTGGCGTTCTGAAAAAAAATCCCAATGGACAATTTAGAATTGTCCTTTCTCTGCATGTCAGCACGCACACATGCACACACAGAACCAATAGAAAGTAACACGCCAAGAAAAATCTGCCATACAATAGCGTTTTTAAAACGTCCAGGAAGAGGATCTGAAAAGCAAAAAAACAATAACAAATGTCTGACATGACTGAGAGAGGAAACTTAGATGAAATTCCATTTCCTAAAAAAGGAAGAACAGCTTGCTTTAGTCATGTTCCTGGTTGCTAAAGGGACTGCTCCTTAGCCAAGGCCAGAATCTGATCTGACCTGCTGGAGATTTTTTTTTTTTTAAATAGAAAATGAATTGTATAAACAGATCAAAGTTTTTCACAGATCACAAGGATATCTAATCTGTATCTACTCAAAACAACGATCATATTACTATTTTATTTGTTTAGGTGAACAAGGACTACAACTTATAAAAGAGTTTAATGGCAACCCTTTCCAATGAAATAGAACCCCAAACAGTACAGCTTCATAATTCAGTTACGCCTTGCTTTCAAGATCATTACAAGCTTTACAGCATTTAAAGAAAATAAACAGGAGTCAGGTCAGAAATAAGAGGCGTCCACTCAAGAGTGACACCCAGAAGTCCTAGCACTAAGCATAATATTCAACAATAAAAGGAGTCTCTTATTTGCTTACCAAAAACTGATGAGAAAGACACAGTGAGAGATATTGCAGGAGAAAGGCAGAGGTGGAAGGGAGGATGAAGAAACCAACACAGAGACTCCGTGACATACAACAGGACAGAGTTAGCCTAGGAGGTTGGCAGGAGAAGAGAGAAAGTATGAATATGAAAGAGCAAGAGTATTTTCATTCAAAAAAGTTAGCTAAAACTAGAGACCAGCAGGAAGAATGGGCTTCTGAAAATATGCTGAGGAACAAGCACAACATGAATAATCAGCCAGAAGTGACCATTTTTGGCTAAGATTCTAGACTAACTACTGTGGCCACTGAAAATCTGCTACTTCTCTTCATTTTATTAATGGCAAAATAAATTCCAATTTATAAAATTCCAATGTGTCTTTATCATTTCCCTGTTTGGATTCAATCACATACTTTGTTTTAGGCAATTGACAACTATAAACATTCCCACGTGAATTTGAATCACTGCTCTCCTATGCAGAATAGAGATGTCCTATCACCTTTCTGTCAATCCATTTCATCCCAAATAAAGGCATTCATATATTTCACTGAAACTTCTGGAAGCAATAAGAGGCATAATAGGCAAAATTATCTACCCACATTAATATATAAAGTTGACATACTCTATTCAAAACCAAACTAATTTTTTTTTAAATGAATGTCAAGCTTTTTCTAAAGTTCATCTGGAATCACAAATACACATAAGCAGAAACAAAAATTTTGAAAAAAAGAATGACATTTGAGCTATAGAGGGAAGGGTCAGCACTTGCTGGCCACAAAGCAAACCAGAATAAAACCATGGTAATGTATAAATAGCACAGAGATAGACCACAAAGTACAAACACTAAAAACAAACACATTGAAATTAAGATAAAGGTCTCATTTCAAATCAGTGGGAAGGGAACAGACTGTGAAATAAGTTGTTTTGGAATAACTTTCCATTAGGGATGAAACCATGCCTCCTACCAAATAAGGATATTCCTAATTTATTTGATACTGAACACAAAATTGATAAATGCATAATTAGACTGTTTAAATTTTTAACATTGAATAATAGCAATTAAAGGTGACTAAATTTAATCTATATTGACACCACCCTAATAAATCAATTTTAATTTTTCCTATTTCCTTCCAGTTTTTGTTCAACACACAGCTAGTTATTGGAAAGCTATACTCATGGCATAAATACACCCATCCTTGTGCTTTTCTCTCTTCTATCAAAAGCATTTTTCCATGTTGTTCTGAACTTTGCCACCATTCCATCAAGTTTTTGATGTTCTATAATTGACTTAATCACCCTCTACTGTGTGTTAAGACTATTTCTAATTTAATAGTATAAACATTTTCATGACTATTGTCTTTGAGGCCTCTAAATTATTTAAAAAATGGACCCAAGAATGTGAATAATTGCTACAAATTGCCAAACTGCTTTCTAAAAATGTCCTATCAACTTTCATCACCATCTGTGCTGGTCAAGAGCATCATTTTCATCCCAACTTTGTCAATACTCTTTTTATTGTTATTTCCTAAGCTAACAGATAATAAAAAGTTCATTAACTTAACTCTTATTTTTATTGCCAATGAAATGTATTGTTCACTTTTATCTATTACTAAATAAATGTTGCCAACATTGTTAACACACTGATCAAATTTCAATTTAAAGAACTCTACTCTTTCTACTTCTATTCACAACCGAATTCACTTTCAACCTTAAGCAGGTCAAAATTTTCACTTTCCCAAATAAACCAAATGAAATCAATAACAGAATAATTCCTTTTCCCCTGACTAGTAAGGTTGTACCTTATACCCAATAAATAGCACTCAAATACTCCCCTAAGACTTCCAAAGGCCAGGTAAAATGGGAAAAACGAATGTGAAGTAGGAAAACGTGAACTATAATCATACTAAATCACCTCATTATAAACATATGTAAAAAATGTAAATTAAACCTACATTTTTGTTTTTACCACCAAACATTCTCTTAGAGAAAATTCTTCTTGTAAAACTCATGGGTAATTCCCAAAGACTAATCCTTCTGCTGAAATGTGAATGTATGGATTTATTCTCAAAGAACCAAAAAGCTGTTAAATATGTGTGCCACATTAAAGTGTATCATCTAACTCTCCTATTCCTCTTCCATGGTGTTTAAGATAGATAAGATCAACACTAATGACAGTTCTAAATGCTTTTTCATGGATCTATGTCTCTTATACCCTGAAAAACCTGGTGGATGTTTTATCCAAATCACTGGTTATTCTTGTATTAATGTTCTCCCTCGCAGTCTTTTTCTTCTCTTTTCATCTCTGTAGACAATGTATCTGTACATAATTACACCTTGCCAGTAATAATGTCATCTGCTGAACAACAACTTTATCTAGTTTCTAAAATGCCTGGCACCAGTAAGCAATAAACAAACACCGTATTTTTAAATTATGACAATGAGAACAATGTGTGCATCTTTTTACATGGATTTTCCTAATCTGGGGCCATGGAAAGCATCCATCAGCAGGTTTCAGGGGGAATGGGAAACTCCTAAAATAATTAGAAAATTGTTTTTGTATGTGTACAAGAAAATTGTTTTTGTATTCTCCAAAGACATCTAAATATTCAAGAAATGTTATGAGGGGAAAAAAAGCATTATGCTAGCTTTTATGTTAGGTGTTAATTGACATGTAAAGTGTTATAATGAAAGCCATTATGCTAATACAAAAATAATGGTCAATGTGAACTATCAAATTTAATTCTGCCTTAAATATTTGAAATTTCCTCATAATATATATTAGTTACAATAACCCCAATACGTGTGTATGTACATATATATTCTTAAATTTTCTACACAAGGCCTTCTCTCAGAGCACAGTATGTTAAATGTTGTGAGATCCTTGATAAGTTCATTAAAATATAATATTAGTAATACTAAGTAATATTAGTTAAGTGATTAGAAATACAGGTAGTAATTATTACTAGTACTAACAATATTGAGTTCTTTGATTTCCTTTCCAAC